AGTAGCTGGAGCAGTAAACTCTACAATAGGCCCCTACACAATTGCGATTGATTAGTTAGAGAGTGCTGACTCATGCATGATGTAATCTAACCTATGATTGGTTGCTGTTAAGTATAAAGGGGGCGTTTTTCTCCTTTTTTCCTTCAGTCTGATGTGTTAATCTCATGATGTTCCTGACTACCTTATGTTCTTCCTTCTCTGGATGATGAAAAAGACTGCTGTAAATTTGAAGGTCCATTATATTTATATTTTTATGAAAGACTACAAACCTGTGTCAGTATCTTCAACTTCATCTGGACAGCTGCTGTGCAGTTTCTTGACAGAACATCTGCTCTGGAGAACATTTCTCAAAATAAAGTGCCTCTGGCTAGAGATTCATCTACTTAATGTTTTATTGGTTTGACCGATTCCACAGGAGCAGCAACCCCATATTCCTTTGTTGTCCATTGATGGGCTTGACCTTGGATGTGTTGGCCAAATCCAATATTCGGTTGATTTTACCCACTGTAGTGAGAGGATGAATCATGCCGAATGAAGGAAAATGGGGTTCAACATTCAATTTCTATGCAAAAGTAAATCTTGGACTTTACTTTCCACCTTATGGCTATATGGCTATTCTAGAGAAAGTAAGGACTAGCAGAGACAAGACACCTGCATTTCAATATTTTAGGGGCAGCCACAAAGCACCAGAAGGCAGGACAAGAAACTTGCCTTCAGTAGTTGTGGGCAGGAGGTTTTTAAGAAGAGACTGGACCTAAACATGTGTGAAATGGTGTAGGGTCTCTGGCTTGAAACAAGGGGATGGTCTAGAACAGTGATGGTGAACCTTTCTCTTACAGCATGCAAAAATTTTACATCAATTCAATTCTCTCCGCCCATCTGCACATGAGCACATGGCCCCACACACAAACCCTCCCCAGGCTCTGGAAGGTTTACTAAAGCCTGGGGAAGGAGAAAAATGGACCCAACAGCCCAACCAGAAGTTTGGGAACAAACTTCAGGTTGGCCCGTTGCAGCCGTTTTTCGCCCTCCCCAGGCTCCAGAGGCTCTCTTGATACCTGGGGAGGATGAAAATGGCCTCCCCCATCCCTCTGGAAGGTCAAAAATAAGCTGGCACACTAGAGCTGATGGCTGGCATGCCAGCGAATATGGCTCTTTGTGCCACCTGTGGCATGCGTACAATAGGCTTGCCATCACGTGACTAGAAGATCTCCAACATCCCTTCCAATTATGTTATTCTATTATTGGGAGACTGGCACATGAGGGGAGGGGAGAATCCTCCTACCTTTATTGGAAGTTCAACCGCTGTTAATCCTCTGCTACAAAGAACTGAGATTCCGGGAGATGAAGATGAGGCCATGGGAATGTCTAGGGGGGGGGGGGGAACAGCAAAGGAATAATTTGCTAGCAAACATCCCAAGGATCTTCTTGAGCATACAGTGCAGAAGGTTGATTTTAGCCTATTTCTAGGCTAACTAGGGAACCCCTTTATGTGAGTCCGTTGCAGCCACAGCAACAATACTAGAAGCTCAAAGGGAAGGGTGTAGAAGGACTAGGGATTGGATTCAGAGGCAGCTCTCTGGGCCATGAATGTATGCATTAAAGAACCACAGAGGGGGCTCTGAATGCGTCAAGCACCCCCTTCCCATTTTCAGGGAGCTGTACCGAGTTGTTAATCAAGAATATTAGGTCTGGCCTGGCACCAACAAAGAGTCCAATTCTCTAGCCCTGGCACTAAGGATTTTTAGCAAACGGCTGTGGTTTCTCTATCACCTTTTCCAGATACAGGACATGGACCTTTATTTCAGTCATTTCAAGGTAGGAATCTTGATCATCAGACTCCTGACTAAGATGCTCCCTCACTGGTGGCTTTTAAGAGACTGGATAGACAACTGTCTCAAATGGTATAGACCCCACCTCCTTAACCAGGGGGTTGGACTAGAAGACCTCCAAGGTCCCTTCCAACTCTGCAATTCTACGATTTTGTAATGTTCACCTCCCCTTATCAGATAATCAGGGAAGATGGTAGAAACTCTTTTTCACAGCTGGGATTGGCCTTTTGGAATAGCTTACTGTAAAAATGAAAGAGTATAGACCTTTAATGGCTGTTGGACTTCAACTCCCAGAATACCTGACACAGCTGGCTCAGGGATTCTGGGAATTGAAGTCCACCAGTCCTAAAATGGCTCCACTTCCTCACCACTGGCCTAGAAGGAGGTTTCTCAACCGTGAGAGCTATAAGATATGTGGACACATGGGAAAATCTGGAATTTAAAATCTACATATCACAAAGTTGCCAAGATTGAGAAACAATGGCCCACAGGAAAAGGGCGATGCCTTTTTAAATGCACACAAGATTTTAAAAAATGCAGTTAAATTGAACAATGAGCACGAATTTAGGGATGAAAGAAAGGAGGACAAAGAGATTAAAAGGCATCAGAAGGAGCTTTACCTGATACTCTTTCCGGAGGAGGCTCGTCCAGAACAACTCCCCGAAACAACAGCACCTGGGAGGGATCGCCCCCTTTTCTTCCCGCTGGTTTCCCAGCCACTGAGCTCCAAGCCTCCTTGATCTGAAACAGAGCAAAGCAAAGAAAGTGACGCTTAACAAGTGAAACGATCAGGAAGGGCTAGGAAAATCATCATCATCATCATCATCGCCCCAAGGAGAAAGTGGGATCTTAGCAGAGCCCCAGAAGCTTCATTTAAGGGTCAATTGTCCAAGCAATTCCTCAGGAGGAAAGGAGGGAGCTTCCTACCAGGCGCCCTCACAGAAAAGCGTCTCTGGTCCACGTTCCAAGAGATGCACGCAGGAAAAGATCCGCTTTCCTCGCAGCCCCACCGGCTAAGCTCCCTTCCTTCCCGGGCACGCACGTGGATCCAGCTCCCTGAACCAGCCCAGCCAAAAGTTTCCAGAGCCTAAGCTGGAAGCGCTTATAGCTCCTCCCCCCTTCCGTCCAGGCCCCCCCCCATTCTTTAAAGGACGGGGAGCACCGCCCACTCGGGATCCCCATGGCTGCCCCCTAAGCCCCAGGAGTCCTGGGTAGGATGGTCAGCTGGGCAGGGAGTCCATTGCTTCTTTGCCCCAGGCAATCAGAGAAACGTGAGGAAGGTAGGGAAAGGGATGGGGAGCAGCAAAGTTAGGAGGGAACCATCCTTAAACAGAATAATACAGTAGGGGGGATCTTGGAGATCTTCTAGTCCAATCCCGAGGCAGTCAGAGAAACAGGGGAGGGGGAGTAAAGCCCATGGATATGAGGAGTGAAGGAGATGCGAAACATCACATTTAGAAGGGAATTGCCCTTTTGGAAGAAAACTGGAGTAGGCAAGAAATGGAGGCTGCCTTATTCACTGATCCTAACAAGGCAGTCCTCACCTGACAACACATCTCCTACAATGACCAACATGGTTTATGGTTTATGGTTTATTATTTATAGGCCGCCCTTTTCCCTGAGGGGACTCAGGGCGGCTTACAATTTATGGGGAGGGGAATACAA